GCCCTCAGGGGCTCCAGACCAAGGGGCAGGTGAGCCTGGGCCAGAGCCCCCTGGGTGAGGGGCAGCTGGCACTGCGAGTCTGGGCCCATGCTGGCTCCTGGGCTCTGATCCTGGCCCCGAAGCACTGGCCCTGTGTCTCCCACCACCCAGTAGGGTCTCGGCCCCTCCTCCCTGTGAGGACCAGGTGTCCTGTGGCATCAGTGCAGCCTGGGAGCCTAGCCCTCGCCCTAGCTGGTCCTTACTTGAGGCTCTGGCTTCCGGGCCACTCTTGGTGGAAGCCTTGCCAAAGAAGCCAGCCCTGTGCCAGGCCTCGAGTCCCACCCTGGGGCACTGGCCAAGGCAGGGAGTGGTCTCGAGGGCCCTGTGGGCAGCAGGTAGGCATCAGCTGACTGCAGCTCTGGGGCTCTGGGGAGTCATTCTCCTTCCCCGGACGCCCAGCCTCAGGCCTGTGCCAACCACACCGTGAACTCAGCCCAGCAGCAGATGCGTGGGCAGGGACCATCCAGATCAGTCTCGTCCTTCCCATTGCAATGCTGGGCATGGGGCCATGAGGCTGTCCCTGTAAGTGGAGACCAGGAGGTGACCTCTGTGCCCTTAGGGTCATGCGGGCAGCCGAGGAGACAACGTCCAACAACGTCTTCCCCTTCAAGATTATCCACATCAGCAAGAAGCACCGAACGTGGTTCTTCTCTGCCTCCTCGGAGGACGAGCGAAAGGTGAGTGGTGGGTGGGAGGCGGGGCCAGTGGGGCCAGTGGGGCACAGCCGCTCACCCAGGGCCGCACCATCTGCTCCTAGTGGGCAGCCAATGCTGCCTGTATAGGCCCCGGGACACTGTAGGGAGAGCCCCTTGTGAGGGATGGCACTGCCAGGGGGTAGGGGGCTTGGGCTCCTGACCTTGCTGGTTCCGCGGGCAGTGAGTGGGGGAGGCACAGGTGAGCACCTGCCTGGCAGCTCTGTGCCCCTTCATGCCCGTGGTGTGCCCACTGTACCCGGTGACCCGCAGAGCTGGATGGCCTTGCTGCGCCGGGAGATCGGCCAATTCCATGGGAAGAAGGAGCTGCCTGTGGACACTAGGTGGGCAGGCTGTGCTGGGAGGGTCCGTCCCTGGAGTCTTGTGACAGTGTGCATGTCCCGCTCCAGCACCCACTGTGCGGGGTTTTTCTGGGGGTGCTAGCCCAGCTGTGTGTGGGAGCATGTACCACATGGGCAGTGCGTGTGTGTGCAGTCCCCTCTGTTCCTGTCTTCCGCCCCCTCCGCCTGTCTGCCATCCTCTGGGAGCCCTGCCTTGGCAGCAGCTCAGGGCTTTGGGGCCCCAGGGGTGGGAGCAGGGTGCGAGTGGGGTCACGGCCCAGTCTCTGCAGCCTCACCTGTGAGATGGTCCAGAGCCTTGGGGGTATTGGGGAGCAGTAAACTGTTCCACCCCCACCCCCATATTTGGGAAACTGAGAGCCAGTGCCCCGCGCATACCTTAATCTAGGCCGACAGCCTGGCAGCCCAGTGTGGACTGAGCCCTCCGGGCAGGGGCAGGGGACACATAGGCCCAGTTCTGAGGTCTGTGGTTGGTGGGGTGGCCCCCAGTGTGTGGCCCCAGAGCCTGGGACTGCACTGGGGTCCACATGCCACGGTGTGCCTGCATGTCCGGGTGGCTGCGTGTGTCTGTGTCTGTGGAATGTCCCTGTGTGCGTGTACATGTCCCCGTGTATGAGTTGCTGCTGGCCCTGTCCCCTGCTGCACACCAGCGACTCCAGCTCGGACACAGACAGCTTCTACGGTGCAGTGGAGCGGCCCGTGGACATTGGCCTTGCCCCGTTCCCCACGGACAATGAAGGTGAGGCCGCTGCCCACCCTGGCCTCTGGCTCCTCCACTCCCTGGGGCCCGGCAGCCCCACCCTGTTCTGCACCCATTGCGGGGCCTCAGTCTCCTTCCTCCACAGACTACGAGCACGAGGACGAGGATGACGACTCATACCTGGAACCAGACTGCCCGGAGCCTGTGAAGTCGGAAGGTGGGTGGGGCCGGGGCTCCCCATGGGCTCAGTGTCCTTGCTGGGACCCAGGCATTGAGGGGTGCAGAGCCAGACGTGTGGCACATGCCTATAATCCCAGCAGTCTGGGAGGGTGAGGCGTGGGGATGCCAAGTCCAAGCCCAGCTTGGGTGACTGCAGCTCAGTGAGACCCTGTCTCGAAGTTAGAAACACAAATAGCTGGGTGTTGTACAGCTCAGTGTGAGGGCCACTGAAGAGAAAACAAAACACTGCAATGTTCAGAGCACCTGTGGCCCGTGGCTGCCTGAGGGAGGGGACACAGCTAGGGCAGCCTGGCATTGCAGCCTGGGGGGGTCACAGGGCAGTGCCAGGTGCGCTCCCCTGACGCTGCCTGCCCCATCTCCCGCTCCTCTGCCTTGGGACTGACCCTTCCAGCACTGACCTCTTCACCCGCTGCCCTCCTTGCTCCTCCTCAGAGCCCCGTCCCTGCTGTCCCTAGCCCACAGCTTCTCTGCCCGCTGGCCACCGCCTGCTTATCCCTCTCAGCTCCACCTGGTCTCCTCCCTTGCTCAGCCCAGCTCCAGCCCGCCTTCTCCCTCCGCCTTTCTTTACCTCCCTGACCCATCTCAGGACCCAGGCCTCCCTCCTCTCCTCTCCTCTCTTCCCCTCCTCTCCCTCTTGCCTTGGACTTGCACCTGGATGGTCTGCGTTGTCCCCTGGACGTTTTGCAGCAGTGTCAGCTCGTTCAGAGCAAACCCTGGCTGTCCTTTCCCTTGAGGCTGCTCCTGCCCGGCCCGCAACTCTTTCCTGCCTCAGCCTTCCCTGGAATCCGGTAGCTGCCCAGGTGGCACCCGGCTTCAGGAAGCTCAGGTGTCTGCTGTGGGGATGGATGGGCAGGGTTAGGTGGCAGGGGGCGGATGGGAGCGGGGCTGGGCTCAGGGTGACGCTGCGTGCTGCCCTGTGCTCCACAGACTCCCTCACTCACCCGCCGGCCTACCCACCACCCCCCGTGCCCACCACCCGGAAACCTGCCTTATCTGACCTGCCCCGAGCTCACTCCTTCAACGCCAAGGGCCCGGCCCCGCTGCTACCGCCCCCGCCCCCAAAGCGTGGCCTCTCTGCCACCAGTGGGCCCATGGAGGACACCAAGAGGGACCCGCTGGGCCTGAGGTGGGCCGAGTCTGGCCCCAGGGTACCTGCCACGCCCCGGAGGATGAGTGACCCTCCACTCAGCAACCTGCCCACTGGGCCCAGCCTGTGGAAACCCCCATGCTTCCGAGAGGGCGCCAGCCCCAGCCTAGAGCCGTGGACACTAGGCCATGGGGCCAGCGCTACCCCCAGCTGTGCCAGCACAGCCTCTGCCACTTCCAGGAACTGTGACAAGCTCAAATCCTTCCACCTGTCCCCTCGGGGGCCACCCACATCCGAGCCCCCGCCCGTGCCAGCCAACAAACCCAAGTTCCCAAAGATAGCGGAAGAGGGCCCCCAGCGGGAGGCAGCCAGGCTCTCCGCACCCCCTGTGGCTCCCAGGCCTCCCGTGCTGAAGCTGCCCCTGCCCGACGCCGCCTCTCGGCCTGCCGCCTCTCGGCCTGCGGTGCTGCCCCGTCTGGAGAAGCCGCCTCTGCCCCACCTCCAGTGAGTCTGGGACTGGTATTCCCACCTCCCACTCCAGGGGCCCTCCAAAGGGTGACAGGGATCCCTGGTGACCCCAGACAGCCTCAGGCGCATGGGGACGTCTGGCCTCGCCCTGTGGGGCGCCCTGCCTAGAAGGCCCTGAGCCTGGTGCCCTCAGGGACAGAGTGACAGTGGCCTCAGAACTTCCTGCCTCCTGGAGGTGTCACCAGGGAGGAGTGATACCAGCTTCCCATCTGCCTCTTAGGCCCTGCCACCCCAGACCCCATCCCAGTCCTGCCTGGGCCCTGTGTCCCCACTCTGGAGGCTCTGGAGCCATGAAGGGCGCCTTTGTGTCTTTCCCGGGCAGGAAATGGCTGGAATGTGGCTCAGGGCCGTGACTCAGCCCAGGCTTCCTGCTCTGCTGTGGGCTGGTGCCTGGGCCCTGGGTGTCCCTCACTCCCTTGAGGTCACCCATACTGAGTGCCCAGGGCGTGGGGTCCAGCCCTGAGGGCATCACGGCTTGGTGGTAGTGAGGAGCCTGGGGCACCTGCAAGGCACCCTGTGGCTCTGAGTGGTGTCTTCATCGCCTGTATGGCAGCAGCTGAGCCACATGAGTGGCTCCCAGGCCTCGGCCGGGTCATCCCCACTGCCCTCCCTGTCCGTGGGCATGAGTGCAGTGCTCCGCTGCTGTGCGGATGCCCCGCGTTCTGATGCCCCGCCTGGGGCCATGAGTGGAGGGGAGGGAAGGCAGCCTGCACGAGGCTGACAGCTCCTGCCTTCTCTCCTCACCCCCAGGCGGTCGCCCCCTGATGGGCAGAGTTTCAGGAGTTTCTCCTTTGAAAAACCACGGCAACCCTCGCAAGCTGACCCCAACGAGGAGGACTCGGACGAGGACTACGAGAAGGCAAGGGCCTGGGAACAGCCGGGCCAGGCAGGGCACGGGCATGGGGTGGAGGTGCTAGAGACGGTCATCAGCACTGACTGCTGCACTCCTGCAGGTGCCACTGCCCAGCTCGATCTTCATCAACACCACGGAGTCCTGCGAAGTGGAGAGGTTGGTGCCAAGCTGTGCCCCCAGTTGGGTGGTGGGTGGCCCCTGCAGCCAGGGTGTGGCGGGGCTGGAATCCTAGGGTGTGTGGAGGCTCACGTCGGCACGGCTCTTTGGTTTTAGGCTGTTCAAAGCCACCAGTGCCCGGGGAGAGCCCCAGGATGGGCTCTACTGCATCCGGAACTCCTCCACGAAGTCGGGCAAGGTAGGGGTGCCGGGCTGTGCACACCAGCCGAGGCGGACAAAAGTGGGGCTTTAGTCTGGGTCCTGCTCCAACCTGGCTGGGGCACCCATAGGCAGGGGCAGGAGGGGCAGGGTTGGCCAGCACTGCGCCCCTCAACTGTGACCTCGCCACCTGAGCCCTCTGCCGTCAGGTGGCTTGAGGGCAGCACTTGCCGGCGGGCAGGGTCCGAAGTCCCTCAGCTCACTGAGAGGCCTCTGCACAGCTGAGCAGTCTGCTTCAGGCTCCTGTCTTGTAGGTGCTGGTGGTGTGGGACGAGTCCTCTGACAAAGTGAGGAACTACCGCATCTTTGAGAAGGTGGGGTCCGGCTCTTTGCCTCGCCTGGGTGGGCTGGGACTGGCACGGCCTGGGCCCCGCCGCTTCCCCGCCCCTCCCTCGACCCTGGCCTCCCCAGAGGGCTTCGGTCAGACCTGCGCCCTGGGTGTGGGCCCCGTGTTGGTCCTGGGTGTTGAGAGTGCATGGGCCATGGGTGGCCAGGCCTAGTCCCAGCTTTGCCGCTGTGATTGCTGACTGCCCCTTTCACACATGGGGGTCAGGTGAGGGGACACGGGCTCGGCTGTCACCAGCTGGGCCTGCTGAGCTGGCTCTTCGGCCCCCGCAGGACTCTAAGTTCTACCTGGAGAGCGAGGTCCTGTTCGCTAGCGTGGGCAGCATGGTGGAGCATTACCACACCCACTCGCTGCCCAGCCACCAGAGCCTGCGGCTGCGGCACCCCTACGGCTACACTGGGCCCAGGTGATACCTTGGCGTGCTCCTGGGCAGAAGCAGCCACAGGACACAGGCCCAGCCTCGCTGGTGGAGACGCCTGCAGGGGAGGCGAGGAGGGAGGTGCCTGACGCTGCCCCAGATGCCTGTGGACCCTGGCAGGGGCCTCCCAGCGGGCCGGCTCTAGCTCCAGAGGACTAGTCAGCTCCCGGACCTGGTCATTCCCTCCTGCTGCACCTCCAGAACCCTGGGGCTCAGGACAGAGCCCTGCCTGGCTTTCACGACAGGATGTGTGCCACGCCGCAGTGGGCTGGGGGCCAACAGGCTGGAACAGTGTGGGGCTGGGGCTGGCCCTGGGACCCCAGGGAAGTGAGACCAGGCTCCGGGTGGGGCTGGAGCTCCTAATAAATCCAAGACGTCCTTCGCCCCTCCCTTGGTTTGATGGGAAGGAAGGAGGGGCTGGTTCTCTGATGTTTTAGTGGGGCCTGCTGGCAGCATGGGAGGCCGATTTCCTCCGACTGCCTGGAGAAAGCGGGTGGTGAGGGCTAAAGAGAGTAGGCAGAGACTGTGTTTCAGAGTACTGGGGGACCGGGAGTCAGCGCCTCCGAGCGGGCAGAGACAAGGGCTCTCCGAGCTGGCCGCTATTTATTGGGTGCACACAGCAATCGGAGGGAGCCCCAGTTGACTTGGGCAGTGGTGATCCTATGTTGGTGAGGACCCTGTGTTGGTGAGGGTGGAAAGGGGGGCGTTCTTACACCATCAGAGCTGATGCTCTTGCTCTTAAACTTCACAGCATTGAGGCCTCGGCTGTGACCAGTGTCCACACGCCACAGGCCCGCGGGCAAGGTGACATGAGGCCTTAGCTGTGGTCATACTTCAATCACAAAATGATTTCCCCAAAGTGGCTCTCAACATCAAGGGCCCGAAGAGGTGGTGCCCATCTGCGGAGTCCCTCCTGGTGCCCAGACCCAGAGCAGGTCAGGGCCCATGTGGCGGTTGGTTCATGGCCCATAAGGGTACCCTGGGGCCCGAGGCGGGGCCACGGCTGAAGGCCCCACCCCCGCACTCATGGTTTGCTGCAGACCGCTAGTGCAAGTGCCTCCCTGCCTGGCCTGGCCTGGGCCCGCCAGGGTGGCTGTGATGCCTCTGCCCCCAGCTCACGGTCAGGCTCAGCACCGCCGGGTGTACAGGGACCAGCTGGGACTTCAGGGGGATGGGAGGCCCTGCGATGGCCGGGTGGGTGGGGCTGGGGGCTCCAGATCCGAGTCCTCTGGCTGACCCCAGCTCAGGCACAGCCCTGCCGTGGACTACCAGTGGGAAAGTGTGTGGCTGGCTGGGTCTGGCAAGGTAACAGGATCATCTACTCCTCACTCACTGTGGAGAAGGAGGAAGTTGTGAGGTGAAACCCACATCCATCCAGGCTCACTGTGGCCACCAGCCAGCAGCTGACTGCTGGGGCACAGCCCTGGGGCCGGTTTACTGGAGCACGGCGAGCAGATGGGAGGACCCATGCCCTGTGGGCACAGGGTGACGACAGGCCCTGAGGGTGTCACACCAGCTGCTTCCAGGAACAGTGCCCACCCCACCCCATCTGTTTCCTCCTCAGCCTGCCCTGGAGAGGGGCCAGTGCACCACGGCGGAGGGGCACAGGAGCCCAGGGTGTTCAGCGAACCCTGGGAAAGCGGCTACTCTCTTGCCCATGGTTGGGACTCCTTGCTCCGTCATTACCTTTTGAGGACTTGGGGGGCACCACTGCACTGTGGCCACAGCTCCGCTCCTGGGGTGTTGAAATAGGGAGCTAGGACAGCGCAGTGTGTGCTCAGTAGAGGCGGGGTGGAGCCCTGTCCAGAGCACTTTGTGCCTTGGCGGTGCTGGGCCGGACACTGGCTGTGCTCTGTCCTGCAGCCCAGCCCTGCTTCCCTTGCCGGCCCTGCTCCCGGGGCCTCAGTCTTCACTGTGACAGCTGCTGTGGGCATGGCTGGCTGGCTCCACCTGGGCCACAGCTCTGGGGAACAAACCAGCTGCAGGAGGCCGAGGCCCTGCCCAGGCCTCTGGCTCCCCACCCTGGCTCTATCAGGCTGTCTGAGGCCTGCAGGGGCTGAACCCATCCTCACCTGATGCCCACAGGCTGGTTTCATCCAGGGCTTGGGGAAAGGGCCCTGTACTCCAGGCTGCTTCCCCAAATTGAAGACAAGCCGTGGTCTTATGTTTCCTACAGTTGATCTGAAAGCGTGAATTCTGTGCCTTTTGCATTTTTGTTTTAATTTTTACTGAGGAATATTTTAACTTTATTCCTTTTTTATTATTATTTTTATTTTTTTGGTACAGGGAATTGAACTCAGGTCCTTGCGCTTGCAAGGCAGGCAGCAGAACCACTGAGTAAATCCCTGGCCCTTATTTGTTTTCAGACAGGTTCTTGCTATGTTGCTCAGGCTGGCCTTGAACTCAGGGCAATCCTGCTTCAGTCTCCCAAGTGCTGGGATTGCAGTTGTGTGCCACCATGCCTGGTTTATGATTATTTTTGCAGTGCTGGGGTTGGAATCAGGGCCTCATTCAAGTCAGGCAAACGCTCTGCCACCCCGCGGCTCCCGAGATGACTTTAGAACCAGAAGCAACCCCTCAAAAGTCAGAGTTGCTCCAGCCCCAGCTCTGGGGCACATGTGGGGAGCGCCCCCTGTTGGTCCGCTCTGGGACTCAGCCCCTGAAGAGGCTTCCGCCTTCCAGGCAGGGCCGGGTAGGCTGAGGCAGGAAAGGCTCTGGTTTCTTTCTGCTCACCAGGACCACGGTTGCCCTCGACTGCCCCCACCATTTTTCTGAGGCACATAAGCAGAGGTTCCTGAGAGTGACCAGGCCCTGGTGGGAAGTGAGTGGACAGCCCCATGGTCACGTGCGGACCATGTGCCTGTGCAGCCTCCCCCCAGGGCCCCTGGAGGAGGCCTGCCTGCACTTCGCTGGACACTCTGCCCCTGGGGCTAAGGAAGCGGGGAACAGCCCTCCACAGGACCCTTGGAGGCTTCCTAACCCCTGCCCTCGCATTGCCTTCTGGCCTTATCCCTGACCACACCCTGGCTGCTCATTTCCTGAGGAATAAAACAAAGTAAATAAAATGTGAACGGTGCAATCTGAATTCTTACTGGCATCCTGAGGAAGCTCAGAGGGGACCCTACAGCCCCCACACACCCTACCCTCCTAGCACTGCCCTGTTTTAATTTTCATTTTTTTTTCTTTAACAGTACTGGGGATTGAACCCAGGGCCTTTGTGCTGAACTGCATATTAGCTTTTTATTTTATTTCATTTTTTATTTTGGGACAGGATCTCTCTAAATTGCTAATTTGCCTAGGCTGGGCTCAAATTTGTGATTTTCCTGCCTCAGCCTCCCAGAGTGCCAGGATTATAGACTTATACCACTGTACCTGGCATCCTGTCCTGTCTTTGAGTCTTGTGTTCTTTTTCCTCCCAAAGCCTTCACCACGCAATGAGGCATCCATCTCAGCCTTTTCCTGTTTTCGTGTTTTATAACAACGGCCTGAGATCAGACGCAAGCTGTGGCATTTGGCCCCTGGTACCTTGGTGGGAGATTTACTCCGCTGGTGAGAGCAGCTCTGTGCATGGAAGTTCCCGGTGAGACCTGGCTGTTGTGTGACCGTGGTGGGTACCTGGCCTTTTGCACTGTGGGGTCGTCACAGACACCATTTTCCGGGGCGCAGGGCCTTCCTTCTGGTTTCCTAGTAACACTAGGCCATGCGCCCAGGACAGAAGGGAAGTCCTTCGGCTCCCAGTCCTATGTGCCCGTGGCTCTGCCAGGCTTTTCACTTTCCCAGTCTGGTTTTAGTTTGCATTTAGGTCACGCTAAGGAAATTGAGCAGGGTGTGTTAACCATGTTGGCTCTGTCTCCTGTGAAGTGTCTCTTCACCTCTTTTGCCTGTTTTTACCTGTTTTGGGGGTTTATTTGTTTTGGTAGTGGGGATTGAATTTGGGTCCTCATGCTTGCAAGGCAGGCGGCAGAACCAGTGAGCTAAATCCCAGGCCCTTCACCTGGTGTTTTTAATTAATCTATAGGCTTCTTTTATACAGTTGATATTGTGGTAAGGTATGTTGCAAATATCTCTTCCAGCTCTGTGGCTTATTTTAACTGATTACAGCATCTTCTGATGATCAGTTCTTGTCTTTGATTCCATTTTGGTTAGTGCTCTTTGTTACTTGTTTAGGAAATTTTCAGCCAGGTGTTGCGTGGAACATGCCTTTAATCCCAGCGCTTCAGAAGGCTGAGGCAGGAGGATTGCGAGTTTGAGGCCAGCCTAGGCATTTAAGCAATTTAGCAAGACTTGTCTCAAAATAAAAAAAGGTTGGGGATATAGCTCAATGTAAAGTCTCTAGGTTCAATCTCCAGTACCTAAAACAAAATGAAAAACAAAAAAACCTTATTTTTGAAACAGTCTCATTATATTGCCCAGTTAGGCACCTAAGTTCTGAGCTTGAGCAATCTTCCTGTCTCAGCCTCCCAAGAAGCTAGGACTACAGATGCTGCCACACCAGCTTGCCACAGCAAACTAAAGCCAGCTGTCAGTCCCAATAGCAGCAACCCAGTCTGCATTTTGTTTTTCTTTGTTTTCTGGGACCGGGGATCGAACTCAGGACCTTGCTGAGCTAAATCCCTGGCCTGCCCATTTTGATTGGGAATTCATTATTGTTCTGAAACAGCTTGAGGAAAATTGACATCTCTACAATGTTGAGTGCATTTTCTTTAGTTTGCCAATAGGTTTTACGATTTTGCCATTATGGTTTTGCTCGCCTTTTGTGAAATTTGATTTCTTGATTCTTCATATTTCTTTTGGTCTATTGTGAAATGCATACTTTCTTTATTTCATTTTTTTGTTTGTTTGCTAATAGTATATAAAACATACCTTGCCTTTTTGTTTTTTTGCTTGTTTGTTTCTGGAGACAGGGTCTCCCTGTGTAGTCCAGGCTGCCCTTGAACTCACTAAGTAGCTCAAACTGACCTTAAACTCATGGTGATCCTGCCTCAGCCCCCTGAGTGCTGAGATTACAGGTGTGCACCACCACAACCAGTTTAGCCTTGCATTTTTTTTTTTTTTTTTTTTTTTGGTGCCAGGAATAGAAGTCGGGACCTGGTGCTTGCAAGGCAAGTGGCAAAACCACTGAGCTAAATCCCCAACCCCTAGCCATGCCTTTTAACTGGATGACTTTGTACATTTGTATTTAATGTAACTAAAACTACCAGCTTATTTTATTTTATTTTTATTTGTTCCAGTACTGGGGATTGAACCCAGGGCCTTATGCCTGCCAGACAAGCTCTCTACTTCTGAGCCACAGCCCAGCCTGGGGGAATCTTACTGTCCAGGTGTTTGTGTTTCTCTTCTGAGATTGGGGTTCTACTGTGTTGCCAGGCTGGTCTCAAACTGCTGGAGTGACATGATCCTCCTGCCTCAGCCTTCCAATACAGGGACTGTAGGTGCGTTTTGCCACATCCATCTTCTCTTTCTTTTTCTGTCCTTTTTTCCCATTCTTTTGGATCAAGAAACTTAGGGGAAAAAAAAGGTCATTCCATTTCCCCTTTCCTCCTAGAAAGTCATATGTTCTCTTTCACCCAGACTCCGGCCCTCAGCAGTCTCAGTGCCATGCTTGCCGTGCAGTTACCACTCATGGGAGGACCCACAGATGCCCACCCCTACCCCGATGCCTGAGGGCCGAGGTGGAGCAGAGTGGCAGAGCACTTTGCCCGGTGTAGTGAGGCCCAGGGTTCCACCTGCAGCATGGCTGTGAGGGGCTTAAGTCCCAGATGTGTTTCTGCCCAAGGCCATTTTATAGGCGGTAGCCTCACACGCTTACAGGCCTGAGGGTCAGTGACCCCTGCCGGGCGGGTGACCGCTCCTCCCTGTGCCCATGATCTGTTGGCACAAGGCCTTCAAGTGACCAGGTATCAGCCCAGTTTCATCCACACTCTGTGCCCTTGTAGGAGGAGCCTCTAAAACCACAAGATTCCCTAGTTGTTCCTGGGAATCACCATCGCAGGGCACAGCCTGCTAGCACGGTGTGGGTTAGCGGAGAAACTGCTGTCTGCTCCCAGGACACCGTCCTCACTGGAGCCCCGGCCCCCAGGCGGCCCTTCATCACTTCCTGAGACCAGCTTCCAGATGGTGTGGCTGCGGCAGGAACGTGGGTCCCGGGCACACACCCTGTGCCATACAAGATGGACCCTCGGTCCCAGGCGTTTATGTCATGGATCAGGGTCAGCAAACTGGGACACAAGCTCTTGGGGAGTGTGCTGGCTGGAATGGCAGATGCACGCCTACCTAGATGTGCAGCTGTCCCAGTGAGCACGAAAAGCCCAGTGCGGCCTTTTCTAGGAGAGAAGTAGCGCAGGTGTCTCTTCAGGGGCCAGCAGGCTGGCGGTTTGGCCGTGGCAATAGCTGGATCTGCCTTGGTGATAAGGAGCCTGGCCGTGCTGGCTCAAGAGCAGTCACACCTGACACCATGGCCTCTTGGTTCATGACATCATGATGCGGTGCCAGCTCTGCAGTGGCAGAGGACAGAGGCTGGCTCTGTCTGCCAGGTTGTTTAGATTGCCGTGGTAGACGTCACCAAGCTATGAAGATTCCGCCCCTGTGCTCCACATGCCCCTCCCTCAGACCTCCTCATCCTCCAGCTCCCAGACTGTCATTCTGGGAATGGCCACAGTCCCCAGGGAGCTCCAGCGGTGGGCGTGGGGCCTCCTCACCACCGTCTTCTGGTGCAGCAGCTGTGGGGACACGGGTGGAAGCAGGCCCTTCCCACAGTGTGCCAACAAGCCGGGCTGACCTCCTTCTCCTGCCCCTGAGTCCTGGGACCCTGCACAGTGCGTAACGTTGGGTCTATGCCACCTCCTTCTGTGCCTGCTTCAGCCCAAGCCTGGAGCTGCCACTTCGGGATTACGCCGGACCCACCTGACTTTCTGACTTGGGAGCCAGAACTTGGTTTATGGGCAGGTCTTGCCTTAGAGTCAGTTTTTGTTTTTTGGTGGTTCTGGGGCTCAAACTCAAGACCTTGTGCTTGTGAGGAAGGCATGGGACCATTGAGCTAAAGCCACAGCCCTCTTCTACTTTAAGGCAGGGTCTCATTAAATTGCCTAGGCTGGTCATTAACATGTGACTCACCTGCCTCAGCCTCCTGAGTAGCTGGGATTATAGGTGTGCATTATTATGCCCAGTTGATTTTCTTATATCTTTGTTTCTGCTTTGCTCAGTCATCTGCTCCACCTC